ATTAGTAAACATATCAATCATCGGATGATTTGTCTCCATCCAATAAAAGATATCAGAAAAAAACATTAAAGGTGCACGCTTATAATTTCTTCTATCAAACCGAAGAAAAAGATCACTCCAGCAATGCATACAAGCTTCCTCATAAGCCAGCCGGTGCATTCTCTACATATTTCTTATGTTCATCTGCAACTTGCTTTTTTTTATGATCTACTGCTCTTGATGTTGTGGTTGCTCCAAGGTTTGCCATTGTATTTAGACCTTCATTACTTGTACCTACCGAATCTAAATAGAATGCAAGGTCAAACTTAAAAGAGTTAATTTTTGTATTATTTAATGAAGCAAGAAGATAACATATGAACACCATTAATCTCTTCATACGGTCCATTGTTTGTTCATTACGTTCAAATGGCCGAGCTGCTAAATAGAGTTGGTCAAAAAACCCCCTCAAGCTTGGTTCTATTTCTTGGAGCAATCTTCGCATTTCATCAAATTCGTATATAGGACCTTCTTTATTATTATATTCTCTATTCTCTTTCATAAAAGATTTTAGCAATCATCTTGATGGCTCTAGTGAAATCAATCTTTTCACTTACCTCTTCCTGTAGTTTTTACTTGCCTAGATCCCCTTTTTAAAGGATTTTCTACGAAATTCATGTAACAAATGTTACATAAAACAACACCTTCTGTCCACGTTACCTTCACTAAGTTGTTGTTCTCAGCTTCTTTCCATTTATTGCCTTTCAGTTGACGAAATTTAGCTGATTTAATGGTTTTACATTCTGTGCAATGTTTAATTTCAGACATTTTTTCTTCGAGTAAATCGTATTATGAAAGTTGTGGGATTCAAAGGGATTCAAAAGATATGATAACAACAAAGTGTAAAGCTTCAAATTTGTGTAATTATTTGCACATGATTTATTGTAAGAATGGGCTACGTAATACCCTTGTAAAAGTATTCTAAACTGTATAAAAAAAATTGAAATCAATTGTGAAAATCCATTCCTTATATAGGACGTTCTCTCCTGTTGGATAAACATGCTGATGGTTTTTCCACCATTCTAAAATATTAAAGTTGTCATCTTTTTGTATTTTTGTTGATAAATACAAATCAACTTCATCTTTGTCATCATCTTCATCATCACTATCATCATAATATTTACTAAAATCACCTAACTCTACATTTGAATTTGAAGTTGAAATTGTAGTTGATAATATTGCTTGCATGCAATTATCATCATCATCATCATTACTGTCAGCACTAACACCATCATCATTAATTGTTAGATTATCACATTGTCTTTTAATTTCATTTTTTACCCAGGTGGAATCACCAGACTCCAATATTTTTAATTTTTTCATAAGATGATTGAAAAAAATGGCTAATTTATGTAATTCATGAATCTTAATTTTTTCAATTAATTTTTCAGCAACTACTAGTTTTATTTTTTTCGTAATTTCATTATCAGAAGTTATCACTTGACAATGATCTAATAAAGCTTTGTACCAAGGTATTACTAGATGTAGTGTTGGTTGTTTTGAACCTTCTAAACAAAATAAAAAAAAAATTTTTATTATCATAAAAAAAAAAAAATTTATCATAAAAAAAAAATTATATTTATTAATATATACATATATATATTAAAGATTTTTTTTTTTTGCCAAGAAATTATTTAAATTCGGGTCAAGTTCGGGTCATTAATTGTTGCAAGTTACAACCCGAACCCGACCCGCAGTTATTTGACATCAAGACCAAACCCGCCTAACCCGAACCCGACTTTCGGGCTCGGGTCGTGTTAAAACACGGGACCCAACCCGATGCAGGCCTCTAATTTAGATTTTACCATATTATTATATTGTTATTATTTTGTTTGAAAAGTAGCCCCTATTTTTCTTATAAATATGGAAACGATATACAAATACCGAATTTTTGGGTCAAAATCTCTTGATTTTACAGTAAAGGCTGTTTCTATTTTCTGCGCCCCATATAATGATAAATTTTATATATATAACAAATTAGGAATTTAAAGTGGTGTGTGATATTCCTGACTTGTTGTTGATTCTTTTACTATGTGCTATTGTTTTTGTTGTTATTTTGATGTTTTGTTGTAATATTCTTCAGAGAGTTTTTAGAGTTTTGATCAATTCAAGTACTTTTGAATTTTTAAAATGAAGTTGTTGAATTACTGGGAGATGAATTTTTAATATTTTTTTCATTGTGAAAAAAGGTTTATGACTGTAGTCTAAAATAAATACAACAATTTTTTTTCTAAAATCCAGTAAAAAAATAAGTTCAGTTATGATTGCAGTTCAAAAAAAAAAAAATATGTATATATATGTAATATACTTACTATATCATGGGAATTTCGAGTTTTTTTAACAAATACAGGCAGTTAGGATTGTTGGTGTGTTGTTTGATATATTTTAACATACTGTTCCATGACTCTTTTGCCATTTTGGCTAATCTTGATCTGTCATTGTTAATGTGTTTAATTAATGAACTTCCTTTGGCTCTTGGGCCATAGGAAACCTCTCTGAAAAATACTTCAAATAAATAATATGAATTCTCAACAACCAAGTACCACATATAATCTGGGTACCAAGATGGGTCGATTTCACCATTCCTTTTTTTAATTGATTGAGAATTTCTCCATCCCTAAAATGAATTTTATCCTTTGAATGGTCAATTCGGATGGAAAATCTTGTTTTTTAAATAATTTCATTTTATACTGAATACTAGCAATGTTCGTGTTAACATTAAATGACAAAAAAATATAATTGGTGAGATTAAATCATCACACCATGAGCATCCATTGATATTACGATTTTTGTTGATGTAATTTGGAGAAGCCCACATATTTTTACTAAGATTTTTTATTAAGCATTTAATAAAAAATTTTATTCTTTAGTTTATTACATTAACGGTTTAAAGCAAGGAAAAAAATTTTCTTAAATTTAAAGCTTACATTGCAATTAATAGTGTAGTTAATTGATTGGGGTATGAGACACCCTATCAAAATTAGGTGATGTAACATAATGCCGATCAATAACAAACTTTTTTTTAAATATATACGAATAAAAAAAAGTGCTAAAAAGATTTAGGGATTGCTATTTCTCACCGGTGGTGATTGTCACCACCTAAGGAATTAAATTTGGGTGGGGCGGAGTTAGGGTTGGGGTTAATCATAAATTGTATAATTCCTTAGGTCGTGACAATCACCACAGGTGAGAAATAGCAATTCTCAAAAGATTTTTTTCAAAAATTTGTTTAATATACTATTTTATGAATGAAATCATAAACAATTGGAGGAGTTTTTATTATTATATAGTTTGTTAATATTAATTATATAAATTGTAAAGGTAAATTAATAATTTATTTTAATGCTGAAATTTATTATATATATATTTTCTAATGTGAAATGAGTATTTCTCTATTATTCAATAATATAGCTACTTAATTATAAGCAACACAAACAAAACAGGATGAACAGACAAATAATTGGATCGTTTGGGATCTTATAGATAACTTTAAGAAAATGAACCAGAAGAAGACAATGACAATGAAGAAAAAAATGAGTCTGAAGAAGTAAAATAATAATTTTTTTTAGATTGAACAATTTAAATATATCTGAAGGATATCATACTAATTTGTTAATTCGCCTTATAATAGAGTGATGTTCAAACAACTCTTAAACCATCAATTTCAATGAAAAATTTTAAAGAATAAGAAATGTGATTTCAAATGTAAGTAAATATAAATAAATATAAAATATTTAACAAATATGCCTTTTTTTACTAGTTCTAATTAACACTATGTTATTATTTAAATAAGGCATATATTCTTGATGTAGATGATTTGTTTACAACAATAAGTTGTACAATGTCTAAGTCAGCTTATATTACAAAGATCTAATGAAAAATCATGCAGAGATTTGGAATGTTATAGAAAGAAAGAATCAAAATGAATTATTAAAACCAAATCTAAATTATCTAATAATTTTTTTGTTGATCAGTGATCAACCAGTGTTAGAAGAAGAAGCAAAAAAACTTGGTTCTTAACTCTGAAGAAGCCTATATAAGCTGTTTTTTAATAAATCAGATTCAAATACACCACTAATCCCTACAACAGGATCAATTATTGTGGTGTTTGATGGCTGTTGATCATCAAACATATGTTACATCAATATAACAAAGTATTATGTGTGGATTTTTTAGTATCTTTATCATATATTTTTTTGAAAACATGGATTATAAAAAGAAATTTCTATTAATTTATCAGTTACAATGTAAATTTTTATGATAAAATTTAATAATAAATTGAATAACTTTTTCATAATAAAATTAAACAAAACTTTTTATAGTTTTATTGTTTAAGTCTTCTATAATAAACTTACAAAGAGCTTTTTTCCATATCTCATTTGGTTATAAAGTTTTCCTATTAGCAATCTTTTTTCAATTTCTTTAGAATATATAAAAAAATTTTTTTTTAATTAGCAAGAAAAGAAACTCTCTGTAATCTAAAAGCTTAATCTATTTACTATAACTTCCCTTAGTTTCATGTCTGTATCTCTTTATTTGAAGCTCTAATGCAATATAGTTTTATATAGGAGTCTGACTGTATGTGAAATTCAAAATTGGCCAAACAGAATTTGCATCCAAACACCCAAACTTTAATCAAGCTATAGTTATTCAAAATTAGCATTACTATTTATTTCAAAACTATGATTTTTCTCCAATATAAACTTGAAGAGTGCAGTTGAAAAGATGAAAAATATTGTAAGTTTTCATGTGGGTATAGCTTTATGTTATGTCTATTAAGTTTAGTGAAATTTTGATAAATTTATTTATCAATACAAAAAATGTGAACTTTTTATAATTTGAATGATTATTATGTTGCTTTTTTATTACAATAATAATTTTGAGAAATAATTTTGAATAAATGCAAAATAAGTATATGTAATAAATGTCTTAATGTTCCTTTCTGAATGTTATCTACCTGATAGCCAATCAGCAAGGAACACCCAGACAAAAACCAAGAAAGAACTTAAAATAGATAGCAAAAATTATACTAATCATTCTTATTAATGCTCTTTGTTTAAAATTACCAGACAACTGATTCAGGAACATTAGGTCCGAAATCATGTTTATAATGATTTAATACGCAAGATCCCTTTTGAGGATCATTATGACAAATTTTACAAATTTCCATACAACCAGGAGAATCTAAATCTCTAGAGCAACCATTGCAAACAAGTGTGCAACCAATATTGTTACTAACTTCAATGCCACAACATGAATAATATTCTTTACAACCCTTATTACCATCACTAAAATCAACTCCACAACAATCATATCTCCTGCTACACTCTGCCATTTGTTTACAACACTCATAACGATCTCTGCAGCCTTCACTATTAACTTCTCCCTGACAACAATTATAAACTGTTTCACATCCATTATCATCTGCTCCTACTATCTGATTACAACAATCATGTTTTTTTCTGCAAGGTTCGAAATTATTGCAACAATTATATTTTTCTTTACATCCAATACTGCCCTTTGATTGTTTACAACAAGCATAAGAACAGCCATCTGAACCTTCTCCCCAACCACAACATCCATGAATTTTTGGAGTATGAACAGTTCTCTGTAGATTAACAAGTGAAAATGTTAAAGCTCTTGCAATTACTGGAAGTACGTTATTATCATTAGTTTCATACTGGTGTCCTACTGCTACTAATGGATGCACCGAATTTTCATTAGGATGGTATTCAATTTTTTGACCAGTATGACATGGTGTAACGGAACTAAATTTATGTATTTTAATTTTCCCACCAGGATGATGTTTTACTAAATTACCTGGATGGTAACCAGAAAGGCCAAGAGAATGCTTTTTATAAGTATTTCCAGTATGAACGTTTTTAGGATGTTCATGTTTTCTTTCCGATTCACCATGACAATTGGAAATTGTTAATCTTGGATCATTCTCTTCTGGACATTTTAAGCATTTTGCTTCCTTAAATAGAATTGTAACAAGATGTTGATCATGGCCTTTCATTAATTCAATATACCGATTTAAGATTTTTTTTGGTTCCGTTTTTTTGAAAATCCTAATTTTAAGATAAAAAAAAGATTTTTTTTTAATCGCTATAAAATAACTTTTGAACAATTAACATAAAAATTATTTATTTACCCCATTTTATTAAGTGTATCATCATCAAAAGTTTCGTATGTATCTGTATCAAGATATTCATATAAAGAAATATGAAAAACCTTAATATTTTTATTTTCGTAATTTTTTTTTGATACTTCTTTTGCTGCTTCAATTGGACCTTGGGAAGCCGATTTGGATGACTTTTGACCTTTCATAACAATAATCACATTATCCCAAACATTGCCATCATAATATTGGGCAAGTGATTCGATGAATTTTGCTTGACGAACTAAAGATCCGAGTTTACGAGTTTCAGGAACAACAAACCAAAGAATTGTGTGTAGTTTAGTGATACCATTTTCATTCATAGTTTTGAGAATCGATAAAGCCGTTTGAGCATCACCACCCTTCACTCCTTCGGAGTCATCAAAACCTTGCGTATCAATGTATAGGAAACCATTATCTCCACAAGTATATAACATGGTTCCTTTGGTACATGAATCTGCACCATCAGATACTATCGCATCATCTGCTCCAAGAATTTTTGCCGTAAAACTTTTTCCGTTCCCTGATCTCCCAATAGCCAGAATACATTTTTTGTTTTCAGTTAGCTGGAAGAAAAGTATTACAAAAATCAATATAATTTAGAGTTTTATTATTATTAAAAAAGAGAAGAAAGAGGTGATAAACAAATTTATATATGACTAACTTGGCTGTTCTTTTTTTCTCCGTTTTTCATTTTTGTTTATACGTTTGAAAAAATAGCCACCGTATATTTATAAAAAATCTATTATTATTATTATTATTATTATTATAAATGGTTATTTTGGAATTTCTTAATATGAGAATTAAAGAAAGATATAAAAACTCGATAGTGAACATTCGACAATTTATAAATAAAGATTCAATGGGCCGGCCGCTGTAACTCAAAACTCTTAGTTTGGGTCACAGCATCGGCAAAACTCTACATGCATGGTATCACCAACAATTGCTTTATTTATAATCAATAGGCTACAAATCAAAAAATTTTATAATTTTCCAGATTACAGGGTGGGAAGATGGTCTAATAGTTATTTTCAAAAAATTTTACCCATTTGTTAAAATTAATATCAATTACACGTATAATAAATCGCAAATTATAATATAACAATAATGAATGATAATAATAATATTTTCCTAAATAAACAATATACTGCAACATATGTGTTCGCACCAATTAGCTGCTCGCAGTTTACAAATAATAATTATTTCAACGATTTTGGATACCTTGACAAATATTTTGGCTTAATATCTTTATATATATCAAGTGTCATTCATTATAACCATTACACGAGTAAAATTTTTATCGTCCACTTGAATGTATTAATGATTCAAGATACATAGTAAAAAAAAAGTTTTCGTTGTTTTTCTTTTAACAATGACTTTTTCAATCATAATAAAATTTTTAGAGCCAGACTAGGGCTCCCTAACAACTATTAAAATAGGAGACTGGCCTAATTATTTGTTAATCTATGCCAGGCTGTAAAGGTCACTTTTTTTTTACATTTACTTTAAGGTTTTATTCCAACTAACACGTAGAATAAAGCAAGCTCAACAGTAATGGTTAGTCGTGTCAAAGTGTTTCTTATAAAGTCGTTTTTAATCGCTTGAAAGGTTGTGTTGGAAAATTTTTGACTTTTATTATAAGGAATTGATCCATATAT